TGGTCAATCCACTGCTGAATGAAGCCCTCTTCAATTTACCACCATCTTTCGCAATCCTGCGATGTAATAATCCACCTAGCACCTGCACAAGATTTTATTTTATTTCTCCATCTCCTCAGTTCACGTCCTCTAATACATATTCCATTTCTTGGCTGCCACTCTATCACTATACTTAACCATTGGTCATCATCCTTTCTAGTAATGTGTCCTGCCCAAGATCACTTACTTTTAATGACAGTAAGAATGATGTTATTAAGCGGCATATGTTCTCTCATCCAAGCCTGCATATCTCTATGCTTTTGTGCACTTTTTTTCAAGTTTCGTTTCTAAAACTAAAAAATTATTTTTTTACCAGCGACCTGGCCACAAATGAGAGCTCACCGAAGTGTCTTATCACGTGAAAATGCATAGCAGCCAAAAACTCTAAACGCGTATTTAGCAGCCAAAAACGCTAAACGCATATGGAGGGAAAAAACTGATGTACCCAGAGAAAAATAAACGCTACTATGGGGAGAACATGCAAACTCCAAATATACGAGTGCCAGGGTCGGGATCAAACCAGCGACCTGTATACCAGGCGAGGTAGTTCACATCTGTTGCTTCTGACCATGTTCCTGAAGCAAATTTGATCGCTGGTAGTACACGCTGGTTCTGATGCCGGCACAGGAAAACGAATTCTGCTCCTTATAAAAGCCAGTGTGGACCCCGCTTGATGTCGGGTTGACCTGGAAGGCCTGTGGTGGAAGCGTTGGCAAAGGCCGGCAAGCCTGGTTCATGAACAGAGCCAACCCGATTCATGAACCAAGCCAAAGCGCTCATCGTTTTCCAGCCTTCATGTTTTTTTGGCGTGATGTATTTTCTTGTCAATTACAGATTTGATATTCCCAGCGGTTGTGGAAAAGCGGCACGAGAGCTTAAATCCTGGTCAGAGTGCATGCAGTCCAATACCCCTGACCACTAAACCAGAACCGCTATGTGGGAAGTGAAACGTGGCCATCCTATGGGTGGACATTGCCATGTGAAGTCACTCAGGGTTACAAACAACAGATGGACAATGCCCCATGTTCATTCAAGTGCGAAAGCATTAACTTAGTGTACTATATAAACATCATATTATATTTCCAAAGTATAATTATACTCTGATGCTTCATTAATCATTCCAATGTTGCAGAATTGTAAGTTGTCCAAATTAAATTAATCATGTAAAGTGTATTACTGTATTATAATTCTGCACATCTAGATGTAATATTACACCAAGACAAATCAACCTTCTTCTTCTTTCGTATGGCTGATGTAGATGCAGAGCAACAACTACGATTTCACATTCAGGTTTGTTCAAGCTAGATATCTGTGTCAGGAGCAGTGGAGTGCATCGTTGTATGATATGTTCTGAATGACCACAGTCGCACACTGGATAGTTTTTCATTTCCATTTATGCATCAGGTATCCGCATCTGCCATGGTTTGTGCGATGCAGTTTAGGGTGGACCATGAGCTTCGTGGAAGATCAAACCGAAGGATTTTCTGCGTTGGGTCTTTCCCAAGGTGTTTGTTTGTGAGTTCTTTTGAACTCCATTTAGCTCTCCAAGTTTAATCGGGGTTGAACTCGCATTGTTGAAGGTTTAAGCGGGTGGGTCCAAAACGCTTGAGTGACTTCAAGCGACGACGAGGGACGTTATTTAGGTCCTGATGAATGGGAAGGCGACTGCTTTGCTCGATTCGCAGGACATCTCAATGAACCGTGCGTATTTGAGAACGATTACGTAATTGTGGCTCCTGCATTGACGGATGCGAGGTTGTAAAAAAATCTTACATTCGCATCCACGGCACGTCATCGACAAACGTGGATGTTCACCAGACACGTATTGTGTGGCCAAGTTGGTGAGCACATACAGTGTGAGCACTGCCAGCAGGAACCCGGGATGTGGCATAACATCGCCATATGCCTCAGACTTAATGGACGGGGCCAAAATAAATTCAGCGCACCTGGCCTGTACACATGGCACCTTGTGCATCTGACCTGTATCTGTGGTATGAACCTCAGGGGACATGACAAACTGATATTGTGCCTACATTTTTGTATGCATCCTACTACAGTACGACATGGAATCATCTGTACAATCTACAATAATGCAGCAGCTTGGCCTGGATAATTTCTGTGGCAACTCAGCAGAGGGGTGTTTTGCATTATCAGCAAGCATTTGTGTGCCTTTCTTGTAAAGAATCAGGCAACCCCAGACAACCCTGTGTCGGAAGGCTTAATCGCGTTCCACACTGTTTAGCTTCCGAGTAAAAATCATATCGAGCTTTTTGACGACAATAGGGTTATAGATACGCAGAAATGCAACCAATGGATTGCTTTCATTTTAAAATAATAAAATGTGCAAGTTAAGTTATTGAGCAATATTGTGACTCATTATGAAAATGCTTCGTTTAATATAATGGCAAGCTACGACTTCAAAGTACATATTGTATTCCACTGCTGCCACTACAACAGATGTGAGATTTCAGCGATGGTTAGAGGCTGGCTCCCACTGCAGGAGCGCTGAATTATCACCATTGGCTGGTGGCTGCCAGCAGACATGAACACTGCTTCATGCTCATCGAGCCTGGAGGGATTTTAACCCGATTTTTTTGTTAAATGTCTTCAAAATAAACCCAACAATGTTTTGACCTTTTTTTACATTGATTAAAAAAATACATCAACTTATTATAAGTAAGTAAATAAATAAACACTGAAGTCTTGCTTGAGGAAAATAAAAGCAACTAAAAAGAGATCAAACAATTTCTGGAGATTAACAAAAATAATGTCTTTCTGAAACGATTGGCATAGCTTGAGTGTCAATATAGTTATCACTTTCAAACATGCACATTCTCTCAAACCGCACCCCACATGTATACATATATATATCCCAACATGAGCTAATTGATGAAATACAGCACACTCCCACACATTTCACAATGTAATAGCTGCAGGCAAAATTCGTGCTGAGGTATGAATAGAATTTCACGTTTAAAAAAAACGGATGTTTCTAGCAACGATTGAACCAGCTTTAAATAAATAGTTACACCAAACTGTAGCTTGGATAAACAACTAAAAATAGCAGTTGAACAATTCATGTACATGTAACAATCACAACGTGTTTCTGAAGTCACTTGAGCTTTCAAGAAACCAAACAAGCATTTAACTGCAAATATAATCCCCCACCATCTTCTCCAAACATAGGCAGAACTCCAAGACATCCATCAATTGAGCCAATCACTGTCCAAGTAAGCTTAAGGTAATCAGTGAATGCCACATTTTCATTCATTCTACATCACAATATGAAACTTGCACAAAATGTTCATTACAACCGACTGCATTTCATGAGAGTTTGTGAACCAAGTTAGGAATCACAGTCCAATTACATTAAAAAATGCATAATCCTGTGAGGAAATGCAATAAAAAAAATATGAATAACTCATTGCGCCGAGTGACTTCCTAAAATAATCACAACCTGGCATTGGCACAATACATTGTCGGATTATGACATATGGATCTTAAAGTCTAAAGTAAAATCATTCACCGGCACTGAGATTGTACTGAAATCACAACAGCATCCGGTCTTACATTATCCCAGAGATAGTACAAGATGCAGTTTGCATAATTTCTGAGACATTCCCAAACGTGTCTAGACTCATGGAGGGCTACGATAATCGGTGCAGCTCAGCTGGAGATAACCGATGTGGTTACACAGACAACAGAAGCAAAATATCCAATGCCATTATTGTGGAAGCAGAGACAAGCACTACATATGGAGTTTCTCATTGGCCAACTGCCACAATTAAATACGTTCATATTCTCATTAATATTGTTTTCATAAATTGAGATCGGATGGAAGGAATGGATTATTCCTAATATGCTATAGCTTCGTGCCTCGACATAATTCTTGTGACAAATAACTTAGGGGTGACATAAACGAAAGTGATATAATGTGTGCTGCCGAGTTTGTAGCCACTACTAACATGGTCGCGCATGCACGCTATGTGTGTTCTACATACGATTCATGTTAAATGACACGCATATTTCAAAAGCTGAATAAATAGATGCTGCTTTTTTGAGAACACCACCCTGGGGGAAGGCTCGTCATCTTCATCTCAGCTTGAGATATAAGGGCATAAGAATGAATGCCCAATGAAAAATGAGTCACAGTTAACCTTCAATTCACACTCACAGGAATTGTATACAAAATAACGCTCGGCTTGTCAGTGCAGTCCTAACGTACCATCAATAAGCGGGAAGTTTTTTTTCGTCGATAACGGTTCAGTATTAGACTCGCATATCACATGATTATCACGTTTTCGTACGTAATGCACAGTATTGTACAAATCAAATATAATGCTCTGTGTATATAATAGTGCAGCTTTAAATCAATAATTTTATGACTGCACATGTGTTAAATTTCAGGAACATATGTCTAATTAGTAATGTGTTTCATTAGAAAGTATGAGGAATATTTTAAATAACACTGCATGTATGTTTTTATTTCGATAAGAAATGCTATGTTGATTTTACAAAAATACCTATCATACCACAAAGGGTAGCATAATTCCAGAGGATAGACAGAAATCATCGGTGTAATACCTCATTAATATCAAACACTCTTTACATTTGTATATACAGAATGTTTATTTTATGTCTAAAGATATGTAAATCAGCACTAAAACATATGCTTCAATAAGAGGGGTAACAAACCCCAATATTCTAAATCTATACGCATGAAAAAAGAAACCACGTATATCTTTTAAAATGTTACATCAAAAGATGAAATGTTTTAATTCAGATGCAATCTACGAACATCAACCGGTTAGGTATCTTCAATGGAATAAAAAAAAAACAAGGAGGTACAAAATTCAGCATTGACAACGGTTCCCTCTCCGGTTCGGCCACGAACGGAGCTGAAAGTTTTTTTTTTTCCACGGAAAGAAGTGTGCGACAATAATAGCCAAGCGCAGACTCACCAAACAGCCCAGGCGAGCGGGATTTATGTTGTCATCTCCCTCATCTTGGCTCGCCCACCACCACACAGCGTCCGCCAGGCTCTCGTCGAGCAGGCGTTTGTGGCGTCGGCGATGCGCTCAAGCCGGGGGAGCGCGCGTCCGCCGTGCGCCGTGATCTTTGTGTGACCGGGTGGGTGGGCGAGCTTGCACGCTGTGAACGGCAGAGGACGGTTTAGGAGTGGGAGCTGAACGCCCGTGTAGCCCGTCAGAGCCACTCCATGCAGGGCGGGGGAAAGGAGGAGAGCGTGAGTGTATGCGTGCAGGATAAGGGAGCTGGAGGGAGGGATCAGGCAAAGGAGGAGAGGCGATGTTTGTTTCACCGAGCCAGCATCAGGATATGCCGAACAGCATGGACAGCATTAACCCCTTTTTTTTATGGTGCACGCAATTCAGGCTCACTCATGTGCATTATACAGGAGAGGGTTACATGCCTATTCGCCAAGCAGTGTGCCTTTAATACATAGGAAGCAAAATGAAAGTGCAAAATAGGAGCTGTCCAATATGGATGCAGTATATAATGCACCGTATGTTTTTTTGTGCAGTTAATTGCAATATATTTCTGCACGCGAGTGGGAAGAAAATTATATATATAAAATCTGCATAAAATACTATTAAAACTGTCCTTGTATCGTATAACATCCCAATAATTATTTACTTGTTCTATAGGGAGGGTTCTATTTTATATATTTGGCCAATTCCTTAGAATGTTTCGTATTTGCCGTTATTGAAAATACTGCAGTCGTTATCAACATTAAGTATTCACTACCTACAAGGAAGTGCATGAGTAACATCAAATTCATATATTTTCCTAAGACATCTGCCATACATTTATTGCAAGTACAGTACAGCGAATGCAGATAAAATGAAATTGCTTACCATATATGGGAGTCATAAAAAAATATTATTTCCAACAATTGATGATGAAAATCAGTCAAATTGACCATGGAAACAAGCCACAAATAGCTGGACAAACCCAAACTTCGAAATTGAGTAGGAAAAAAATCCCTGGCAGCAGGTTATTTTTTTCACGAGTGGTTGATTCCTGCAAGCCCCGAGGGACTGTATGCCAGGCACAAGGCGAATTAGAAAAGACAGTGTACCTCAGACTTGTACGGTTGGTTACAACTGCTGGGGCTTTTATATTTCATTCAGCGGCGCATGATGTCGCTCTTCTGGTGCTCATGTATCCGCTTATCGCACTCCCTTGATTGCTTTTTGATCGAGCTGCGTTGCTTTAATTGCGCAACATTTATTTTTTTACCGTCGCACACCTACATTCCAACGGTTGTTGTCAAACTGTTACAAGTATTCGCAACATGCTGTGAATATAGCGGATTTTTATGTTTAATTACTGCAACTTACAATGCTTGAACTGTTTTGTATGCAAACAAGGAGGCTAAAACAGCATTTAGATTGCTTAAACGAATAATTTAGAAAATTGCAAAAGCGAACAGCATTAAATAGCGCGTTATAATCAATGTAAAACACAGATGAACGTGTAATGTTGCTTACTATGAATCTCAAACATCTCATTGATAGAATACAGTTTCGAATTATATTTTATAAATTGGTCTCAATTCGACTGCCGCTTAACACCATAAACATACGGGAACAGGCTTCACCAACGTTTAATAACCTATTCAAGGTAAAGGTGCAATGCTGCAATTACTTGTTCATGCATCGACTGTTTGGAAGGATTCTCTATCAGACTATAACATATTTATAATGTCATATATGCAAAAAGCAATAATCATTACAAATTGCGCTTCTGATTTATTTCCATATTTAATCGTTCTGTAAATGGAATATGTCATTGGGCAAGTGGAGTGCTCCCGAAACCAATTTGTGATATCCTTGTTGGACGAAACGAAGGAACAATAATGCTCGCCATACGTGACGTCAATGACCAATGCGAATAACAATTAGTACCTCATTACAACCCCCACACAACAGACCCCTGGTTTCAAGCTACCCTCAACAGGTTCACTGTCACAGCCCATGCCTCGTCACCCTTCACGGATGGGGCATAAGAGCAAACTATGCACCACATCCTAGACGTCTGCCCAATCCACATACTTATTGGAGGCACTCACCCTCAACACAACAGGACCTTCTAGAAGCACTTTGCATTCGCAAAATATTAAAAAATATACGACACCAGAGCCAATACCAAACACTTAAGATGCCTAAATGCTTTACAAACATGCAGTAACTGAATGCACCGTGTGTATGTATCTGTCTTAGTGCCAAACGGCTTTATATGGAAAGCAATATTTTGGAAGAACGGGGACATTAAAAACTAAAGTGAGTGAATATTGTGATATCTGAAAGCCTCGTGTACATTTCAGAAACATTATAATCTGTAATATTTCGAGTAAATGTACGCATTGTATAATATTTGTGTTTACAGGCAATGTGCATTCTTATTATGTTTGCTTTACTACCTTTTAGCAATACATTCCAGTGTTGTGTTTAATGTAACCACTTATGCACTGCATGTGCTGCTTATATAAACACGTTCATAAGTGAAAAAAAGTACAAAAACGCTTTTTTTATCATCAGCCACCTCACGGAATTATTTTTTTTGAAAATGATCCTACTCATGGAACACGTACAATGGATGAAACCTGTTGCTTTGCACTAAGCATATTTGTTTTTTGCTTTTTTTTACCAAATATGTATACACCAGTGTTTTCACTGATTACAATCAACCGATTTGAGCACAAAACAAATAATTTCCATGCCTTGAACACCCGAAAGAAGCAGTGCCACAGTGCAATGAGAATGGCACTGAAGTGGCAACACTTTCACGAATCACTAACTGATGCTCCTTACTGTGCATATGATTCATGGATTAATTGACAAATGTTTTTGTCACTGTCAAATGATTCCTCGCAGCTGGGGAGTGAATAGTAAGTAAAAAAAGAGTGTAAGATATATTCATGACCAATGAAGCTGAGACCACCAACTCTGCACTTGACTCTCTCAAAATGGCTAAATTTGAATTATGGAGTTTAGAAATGTGCATTCTCTCCCTGATCTACTTAGCCACTTTAGTAACCAATTTCCCTATACTTAATAGCGTCCAGAAGGAATTTAAGTTCGTTCAACAATTATTTAAGGAAATATAATAAGAAAACTTCCATCTTTATCATTAGCAATGTTATGTAACAAACATGTGCAAATTAGTATAATATTTTGGAATTAAACATTGACTGGCTTAAAGTTGGTGACTGCACTTGAAAGCACTGGGGAGTGTTTTTAACAGCCGAATAGTCAGCTCTCCATTAGCAGACACTGATAGTCTCTTAATTTTGTACGTATTATATGTGTAGTGGTGTTACGGAGGGGCTGTTATACAATGGTATCAGATGGTAAACAAACACAGTGGGCGTGGCTATGTCGGTGCACAGGGGGGTGCTCACAGCGACGTCCGCACCGGGCAGCCTGGGGGGCTGACTTGGAGCTGGGATCCCCCGGGGCCCCACCCCTCAAGGGGGGAGTTGGTATATAAGGGGGTGAGCCGGAGGGCTCGAGGCAGAATGTATGAAGCTTAACCAGTGAAGAAGGAAGATCTGCTAGATAGAGCCCTGGACTCCCCTGGATCGCCGCCCTTGTCAGGGCCGACCAGGACCGAGCCAGTGGCGTGGCCCCGAGAGCCAGAGCCGGTGCTCTTGTCAGAGCTGGTCTGGGGACTCCGGGCGCCGTAAGCCCAGTTGGCCAGTGCTGGGCTAGCTAGCCTCCCCTAGCCCGATAGTGGAGGATCGAGAGGTAGGCTAGGGGTAGCCTAGAGTGTGTCTCCCCAGTTAGACGGGTGAAGGGGCCGACACCCCTTCCAGTGTTGTATGTCCCGGTCTGTATTGTACCTTGTACGGAATAAATAAGTGTGCCTCCAACACCGGCGTCCAAGTCCTCCTGAACGTTATTACATCTGGTGTCAGAAGTGGTCTTCTACGAACATGGACACGCGACGGACGGCTCGTGCCAGAGAACTGGGGGCGGAGGAAAACGCTGACGACTTTTAGCCCGAGATGGCTGAAGGCGACGCCGAGCAGCCAGGGCCGGGTCCATCCACACCGCAACGTCTGGACGGATGGGAGCCGTCGGCTGACAGACTGCGGCAGGCTCATTCGCGACTGGCGGAACTACTTTACGCTGCTGCCGCCACACTAGAAGAAATTACGCGGCTGGGGGCTGGTGGAGCGGCGCGGAGCGACGACAGCCGACGGCCAGCGCCGGTTCCCGCCGTTTCCACGGGGCCGGATTTCGAATTTCCCGCCATGACTACAGTGGGTGCTGAGGGCGGGGCCGGCCTGAGCCACGCGACCGACATCGGGCATACAGTAGCCGCCACGTCATCAGGAGCGGTCAGCGTGTCACCAGCAGAGCGACCGGCGATGCCACACGCCCTTCCCGCCAAAACCGTGCCGAGTGACGGGAGCGACAGGGGGGCGACCATCGACTGCGGCCGCCACGTTACACCAGCGCTTACCACCTCTCAAGGAGTTCGTGGGCGAAGACGGTGACTGGGGCGGTTTCCAGAGGCGTTTTCGCGCCCACCAAGAAATGGCGCAGTGGACGAATGCCGAAGCTCTCCGCACTCAACAGTGATGCCCTCGCTACTCTCACCTCGGCGCCGAAAGCGAAGCGCACCACACTGCAGATGGCGTTTCAACTCCTCGCTGCAGTCTATGGACCACCTTCGGACTGCAGGCAGCTGTTTTATGATCGCCGGCGGGGTGCCAAGGAGTTTCCCCTGGCGTACCGTATGGCTCTCCTGGCACTGGGGAAGATGGCTTTCCCGCGGATGGATGAAGAAGGGGTGGACGCTATGGTGACGGAGAAAATCCTGCTGTTGGCTGACGAGTTGGACATTGTCGTCTTGGCGCAAGATGACACGGAGATGTGTTCCCTGCGGGCCGCGTGACACATCCATGCAAACTTGCTGTCCCAGCGTCGAAAGGCCAGCAAGGCGGTGGCCACCCATACCGTCGCTGCAGCCACCCTCCCAGCGGAAGAAGTCTGCGCCGTCGATCGGCCGACGGAGTGGAGATCGGGAGTACGACCGGCTCGGGACGGACCGAGCCGCCAGGACCAACCCAAGTCATCGGGAGCACTTACGCGCTGCTACAATTGCGGCCTCCGGGGCCATGTGGCCTCGGG